GAAAACATGCTGAATGGAAGTTACACAAATACAGAATTATGTCTACTATAATGAACATCTAATGACCTGGAACCCAAAGTTTCTTACCACCATAAAATGATTACTATACTATTCTGTAGCCATGTTCTCACGATCACTTCTATCCGATGCAAGTTAATAAGAAATCCAGTCAAGGTCGCATCAAATTTGATCGTATGTCTACACGAGAGTTATAGCGGATAGTTATAGCGCTTATACACTGATATAAAAAAGTTGAAGATTAAAATTATTTCTATTGATCTCATGATGATGTTTCAATAAAACGACAGAAATTACATTAGGCGAGGGCCTGCCTGGGCTAGGCCTGCTTTGAATTGGGTAGGCAGTAGGCCATCCCAACTATCGACTAATAAAAGGCAAAATATGTTTAACATCCAATTTTTTCATCTTCACTTGGTAGAGCATTCCGAAAAAGTGAAATAAAACTCTAAGTTTTTTTTCTCACTTACCCTAAGCCTACATATGAACATTTAGGATATTTTCGGCAGCATTTATAACCCAAGCCTTTAAATGTAGTATGCGAGTACGAACGTTGTTCGTGGTTCTTGCTAGAATGTGTGAATTGCAGTGGCTAAAGACTATCGTACTAGCTGTAATTTCAAAATCATGTATGTACAGTATCTCACCGGCGTTCACCGTATCTCGTTCAGCCTTATTTTTAGACACAGCAAACGAACTACCACGGTATTTTGCGGATTTCCCAAAAAAAAAAAAAGACATGAAAATTTATATAAAGTTTACAATGAACGGTAATAATATAAATTTGTCCTGTTCAAAGTTCAAAACAACTCAAAAAAGTAATTTTAAAGATGCTTTGGTTGATATTATGAACAAACTAGGCCTAGTAGAATTGCCTCGAAAACGAGACCGTGGTCAAGCTACAGATGTTATTGCAATCAACATGTGGCAAGTCAATTAACAGAAAGTTCTGTGGGATGAGAGCCTTGCCAATCTGGTCATTTGTCGGTGTTAGCTTGCGGGGTGAAGCGCTTGTTTTCTATCAGGTGACTACGTTCATATGGTCGGTGTCAGCCTCATAACAAGCGCTTGTTCGATAACTACGATATCACCGGTGTAACTTACACCGTCGGAACAAGGCTTGTATGGCCTAAGAAGTGTTTAACCTAGTAGTAGAAGGGATGGACCATAACAACTATTTTATTATTGTCATAAACTATTTTTAACTCCCCCTTAAATGTCACTTTGTTAATGATCTTGTTGATTAATGGTAAAGTCATTACACTATAGGCATAATAATAATTGACAATGAAAACGAATAAAAAATAAAGGCATAGTTCTAAACTGCATGCTAAATTATAAGGCAGATTTGAACTGTGCACAAATTTAGAAAAAAAAAAAATTGCGCAAGGGCCACAAGATAAGGTATTATTAGCCTCACAACAATTGAACAAGTGTTGAAAAAGACAGGAAAAAAACTATCGCATTTGACTTTATGGTCAATGCATTTGAGTTCAGTGACCCCATTAGATTTGCTCAACCAAATCTCACTGAGGCAGATCCTGTAGTAAATTTCAGAGCTAAATCACTATTTAATGTTAAAAACAATTTCAAAAAGATTACAATGGATGGCCACAGATTTGATATGTAAGTCAAATAATAATAATTCTGGCGACTTCTTTAGCACCGGGAGTCCACCATCCGGCGTTCATGGTACTTAGATGTCTGTTTGGTGTTGATGATCTGCGAGTCAATCCTGATAAATATAGGACAGGCATTTGATAGATTTCAGATTGAAATGCTATACGCACACAGGCGAAATAGGTAAATAAATTCTCCATATCCGCATACCGATTAGTATGTGCATGGGTATCTGCATAATAATGCTGACTAAATGTTGGCAGTTTTTTCAAATAAATACCATCAAACTCTTACTTTTAGTTTAAAAATTTCAAATGTTCTTAAAACACCGGTAGTGAAGCAACATTTAAAATTTTGATAAATAGATTTCCTTGCTATTTTACGGTGATAGAAAATGTGAAATTGGAAGTTAAGATAAATACAGGAGTTGCAGCAGCATATCTGGGAGTCTTGGAATGGAGGGCTGATAGAGGGCGTGAAAACAAAAGTGGGGGCTCAATGATTAGGTGAGGGGGAGCTAGATGGCAAAATAAGGTGTTTTGAGGTAATATTTAACTACTTGAGCATGATTTTTTTTTGGGGGGTGTGCAAGTATTTTTTTTGAGGAGGGTGTGTGCATTCCCTGACCACCATATAGATACGCCACTGAAGAGTTGAGACATTATATGCAGCTGGTTCTAGGAAAAAGGGTAATGCACAGAAGGATTTTTTCTCTTCTAGCATACCATAAAGCATTATAGTTACAGTATATCAGACATTAATTTAAATTTTAAGATAAATGGGCTCGTAGGATAGGCCTTATCATTTTCTATGACGATAAAACCAAAACATACAGTAAAACATTATGCCATTTAGAAAAAAAAAAGCACAGGTTTAACTGGAAGTGAAAAGTTGTTTTCCTATCTGTTGTAGAAGGAGTGGTGGCTGTCTTAGGTGCTATCGCAAAACACCTTAAACTTTGACTGCACCCTTATAACCCACCTGTTAAAGGCGTGAGAGATTAAATCAATAATGGACCATTCTGCTACAAATCGTCCATTGGATAGTGTTGCTAATATCTCACAAAAACGACATCGTAAACGTAGTAAGTACGTTTGTTTGTCGGACGATTGCTCGTTCCTGGCCCTGTTCTGATTGGCCAGTTGTTAAGTTTGATTGACACTCCAATAGGGGTCATGAGGTCACAAACTCTAGCTGATTATTTTCATATACATTACAAGAAATGGGTCTCTCTTATAAGAAAGTATAATACATACTCCAAGTATTGAAATACACGCCATCGTGTTGGGATTCAATATTTCGACATTAATTATGTCATCATCAGGGTCTCTCTTAAGATGAGGAAAGCTCCAATTAATCTCTGGGGTAAAATTGAGAAAACCCCCCTCCCCCAAATATTTTAATTAAAACCTTCAAATTTTTATCTAAAATGATCAATACGATATAAAGTTATGAGACAAATTAAAACATTTTTATTTCTAATTTTCGAACTTTTTATTATGGAAATAATTTATAAAGATATCTTGTTTGTGAGGGTCTATAAAACTAGAATTCAATATTGAAGTTGCTTACTTTGTATATTTTTATGATCTAATCAATGATATAATCACCACTACCATATACCTACCAAGACTGCTACTACAACAACCACCAACACCACTACAACCACCACTACCATCCTTATCATCATTATCATTATCAACACAATCATCACCATTACAATTCTCTGTACTAGCGGTGGAGAAAATAATTAAAAAAAAATCTCCATAATGGCAAATGCATTATCCATCATCATCCCTGACATATTATTTACATATAATTGTGACTGGAGTCAAGAGTCTATGGATTGCCAACTTCCGACCTCTGACATACGAAGCTATTATTGCACTGTAGTTGTATACTGTTCAAAAGGTTGCCTGGTTATTAGCACCTTTTTAACCCTCCAGACCATAATCCCATGTTCTAATGACAACAAAATCCATGTGAAGTTTACGAGTTTAAGTGGAGCATGTCACCTCATTATCACTGTTAGGTTCAAAGTGTCAGCCTATGGCTAGACAGTATAGAAAAAAAAATATACATTGTAGATATAATCTGCTTAATTGCATTTTGGTGATCTTCTTTACATATGATTAATAATATGCTACTGTAATTTTTATATTATCTGAGGGATAGATGATGTAAACATACATATCATACATAACACATATACGACTATCTGTATCCATTGTTAATATTTTTTCCAACTATTTTTTTTTTTTTTTTTTTTTGATGATATATTTGGATACAATGATGGTAAACTACTGATTTTTTTTTTTTAAGTTCTATGTAAACAGCACTTAATAAATGAAAAAAAAAATAAAATAAACCATTGTTATTATTAGTAACATAATACAAATGCTATCTATAGTGCAGTATCCATAGTACAACCCACACTTATTTACCGTTGTTACAATTCATTAGGGTTTTGTACTGGCATAACTAGTGATATAATGGCGACATACTGGCGTCTGTGAAGTTTCCACTTTTTCAGCTCCTAGGTATAATTTTCAAAGTTTTAATCTTATAGTTCTTATATCATGTCATATGCTAAAAAAGAAAAAAAAACCTCATACAATAAATAAATACCAATATTAATGACAATTAGCACAATTCTAGATTCAAATCCATTATATCCAGCATTAGATTTGATTTCTTCAAACCAATATTATTATTAATAACAATAATAAAACAACACCAAAAAAAAGTGTTAACTGAATTATCATGAAGGCAGCTTCCTAGTATTGTCTGCTAGCATTTATTCACGTGCAGTAATCCCTGTACTCGGGGATAATACAGCATTCTCAAAGACCTCAACAACGCAACTGAATTATCATTAGATAGGGAGATAGCCTCTACAGGGACTAACGCAAGTTTCCTTAGGCTTATCGTGGATATATTG